TGTTGTGTTTATAATTTGACCATGTCTGGGCCCTGGCAGTCAGATTACTAGGTCTAGCTATGAAAATTTCAGTGCAATCTATTATGCACCGGCATCTTTTAAAGTTGCGCTTGAATATTTTTGGCATATTTTTAAGTATTGCCCCCTTACTTGGCCATTTAATGAGTGGCTTGAGGACCACGGCCATAGCAAGGACCCAGCTCCGCAAAATATTTGATACGGTGGTTTTTGATACCTTAAATCTATATGCCAAGTCAGTATTACTTAGGCCCAACCTTAATTTCATCAATATAACCAATAGGTGGTCCTCTACTGTAAGTTTTTGGCTAATTCTTTGTACGCTGCACGTTATTTTTGTAAGCAGCCACTCAAAGATCACGGAGGTCAGTCCTGTGAGAAAAATCAATTGTCCAATGTTGCACTTAACAGTGGTATAGGAAAATGTAGATTTTTGCAGCTCCTCTTTCAGCTTTACATTTTCAGCTCGTAGTGTGTCAAACTCCTGTCGCAGGTTGACATACTCCTCCTGAAGTTGACTGTGTCTCAGGTTCAGATCATCGTACTCTCTCCTTGGAACTGGGATATCCTCCTCAGCTTTAATATAGAAAAGTGAAAAATTAGCATGTGCTGCAACCAATGCAGACAAGTTCACAATCCAGGGTTCTCACACATTTTTACCAATGAATTTTCAAAACTTTTCCATGATGTTTCCATTATACTTTGCCCCATTCCCATAACTTTATTTAAGTACTTTAAAATAGGTAGGCCTATATTGTAGTATGATTACAAGGAGAGTAGGAGAACAGGAAAAGAGGGGAAGAATAAGAGGAGGAGGAGGTGAAGCGAGGGAGAAACAATACCCCAAAACAGTGTGTATTAAAAACTTTTCATAAACATTGTTAATTCCAAAACCACTTCAAGGCCTGGAAAACTGTTCTAATTTAATAACTTCTCCTGGAATTTCATGACGGTGGGAACCCTGACAATAGGTCAGTTAACTGTAAGATTAAATATATTCATACCAGGACAATGATCCATACTGCATTCTTGTTCTGGAGTTTCAGAATGAGCAGGTTGATTTACTGCAGTGTTAGGTCTGTCATCTCTCCTCCTTTTCCTATGGTACCTACAGTAAAAACAGCAGAAATTTACAGTTAGACTAATCCATATCACAAAACAGCAGCTGTAGGCACCAAAGCTTATGCAAGAGAGGAAAACAAACTAAAAAAACGACTGAGAGGGGGGCAACTCTAATTAGTCTTACCTGTCCATCTTTGCCTCGGGGTTCTGGCTTTGTTTTGTGTACACAAACACAGAAGGTACAAAATCAGGACTACTAGAGTCCAATGATGCCTCACCTGCAAATAAAACACACACACACGTTTGTTTACTAGTCAAATCTAACGCCAGCTAGTCATCAAAGTTTAGCTGCATTTGATTATTATTCTACATCGTACAGACAATCACTAATGTAAACCAGGCTTTCCAGTAAAATCAAAGAGTAGATAGATAACCTTACCTGATACAAAGTGGGCGCTGCAGACGCGAGCATTTTTGATTATGTCCTCATTCCAGTCAACACGTTTAATCGCTTGCAGCCACAGACGCCGCCAGTTGCTCTGAAACGGTCGTGATCCTGTCAAAATCATGTAAAACTTTAGTCCGCCGGTGGAATATCGATTCTGACAACCGTACACGCAACAACCAGACATTTTGATGCTGGAAACAATTTTTATCCACTTTTAAATGCTTGCTACCTCGTCTGTGTCGGTCAGAACGGCTGGGGAACGCTGGGGAACAACACCACTTCCGTTGCCAAAGTGCGCGCGCAACTATTTGATGACGTTGGCCGTGAAGGGGTCTCGAGCTTTTGATTTCTCCGTCCGCTTACCAGTCAGTTACTTAACCGTAAATGAACAGAGGGTCGCACATTAGGAGAAACAACGCGATAGGAAACATTTGTTAATGGGAATAACCAGGAAGCTTGCGACTAACTTAATAAGTTATCAGAGTTCAATTAGACACCAACACAAGGTGGGTTCAAACTAAAGAGACACTTCAACAAAATGATAAATGGCGTATTTAGAAATGTGCTTATATTTCAGGTAATAATGTCACGACGACTTCATGCACGCAGAACAGACGGTGTGGATAAAAACATCTGGTAAGTGATAATATTTGGCACAAAAGGACATATGGACATAGGTTTCACTTGTATTGTTGCATTACGTTGTAAATCTCTGCCTGGATTTTCAGAGTCCAAACCTAGTCATTTATTAATCTCAATAAAGGCTAACGATAGTAATTTGTGACTGGTGAAGCACGGGGGTGGTGCACAGCCTCGGGGCAAGTCCCTTTACTATACTTCTAAATTTGTAACTTTACACATTTATACTTAAATGCAGCATTGATGCAGCTGCAGACTGTGCAACAAGAGAAGGTGAAAAAAAGTGGTGAAAGTACATTTTCTCAAGTACTGTATTTAAATGCTGTTTTGAGGTACTTTGCATGAGTGTCTCCATTTTATGCTACTTATGCTCCACCACACCTTGGAGGCAAATATTGTTCTTTTTATTCCCCTGCATTTAGAGAACTTTAGTCACAAGTTACTTTACAGATTGAGATTACTTATATGAAATTAAAATCTATTTAAAAGTAATGATATAGTATTATAAGTTAAACTACATAGCAGTATGTAAAGTAATTGAAATTAGCCCCACCTTTACAAACTGCAATATCGAAGTGATTTACACATAAATGCATGATTAATCACAATACACTAATATGATATGTATGATTTGGAAATGTGCCATCCTACATATTGAGTACTTAAACATTTGCTACTTATATAGTGTATTTTGATGCTAATACTTTTGTGCTTTTACTTAAGTTAGAGTTCGAATGCAAGACTTTTACTTGTATTTCTACACTGTGGTATTGCATCTTTTACTAAAGTAGACGATGTGAATGCTACATAAAAAAACATTAAGTCTGTAAATAATAAGCAGTCAGATTATATAATGTAATGCTGTAATATTGTATAGATACATATGTGTCGATATCTAGGTTGTTTGCAGGGTCACTATGCACTTTACTTACTCTTGGTCTCAGTTGCTGCTAATCATTCTTTTTCTCTTCATATGTGCTTTTTTTAATGTGTGTTTTTATTTGCTGTATAACCAATTGCCTTCTAAGGACAAAATAAAGTTGAGGTTGAAGTATTGTCATATCACATAAATATCCTCCAAACTTATTTCAGTTCTAAAACGTCAATCATATGGTACGTTCAAGATAGCATTTGTGGGGGAAAAAAAAGTCAGAAGTCAAATAAGCTGTCCTTTTTTGATATTAAATTGAAAAGCAATGACTTTCTGTTAATGATTTGCAAATTAATCATATATTTTACATATTGCTCAATATTTGAGTATTAAAAAATGTGCAGTATTTTTCACTTGGGCCATTGCAGAAATCAAGGACTGATAACTGATGAAGCCAAAACTGTGTGCAAATCTAGATAGATTTAATTTTCTCTTTTTTTTGTAATTTGGGTGAACTGACCAATAATTTTAACTCACTCACTGGCAGCTCTAAACTCTAAACTAAGATTTTTAACAATGATTTCTACAGAAATAATTTCTTTATAAGTAGTATTTATAAGTGAAAAATATTTATTTTCTGACTCACTTGTGTGTAGGTTAATCATTCATTATTTAGAATTGATGAAATTCTTCCAGGGGCAACAGTCACTCAAAAGGCAGGGTACATAATATGATTGTAACTTTTGGTCATATACAGTACAGGCCAAAAGTTTGGACACACCTTCTCATTCAATGCGTTTTCTTTATTTTCATGACTATTTACATTGTAGATTCTCACTGAAGGCATCAAAACTATGAATGAACACATGTGGAGTTATGTACTTAACAAAAAAAGGTGAAATAACTGAAAACATGTTTTATATTCTAGTTTCTTCAAAATAGCCACCCTTTGCTCTGATTACTGCTTTGCACACTCTTGGCATTCTCTCCATGAGCTTCAAGAGGTAGTCACCTGAAATGGTTT